AATGATATTTATTTATTTATTATTGTAGAGATGAGGTCTCACCAAGTTGTCCGGGCTGGTCTCGCACCCACAGGCTCAGGTAATCCACTTGTTTTGGCCTCCCAAAGTGTTGGGATTACAGGCTGAGCCACCGAGTCCAGCTAGGTGAATGATATTTAAAGCCATGAGCCCCAAGGGGATCAAAAAGGGCATGACAGTGAATACAAGGATGACATCCAGGACTGAAACTGGGGCCTGTGAACACTTAGAAATTGGGGACAGGAAGGGGAACCCGCAAAGGAGCAGCCAGAAAAGTATGAAGGAACCAGGAGGGTTTGATGTCCTGGGATGCCAAGGAAAGAGTGTTTCACGTAGGAGGGTATGGCCAATGCATGCCAAATGCCACCGGTTTACCACTGAGGACTGGGAAGTGGCCAGCGGACTGGCAATGTGGGAGGCCACTGACGACTTTGACAAGGTGCCAGGGACCAAAACTGTGCTTGCTGCAATATTCAGCAGGCCATGGATAAACATTTACGACTACTGTCAGTGAGTGGTCAATTTCAAAACTTCCGGTTGATTTCTCGTTCTGGTCTTACCTGCTCCAATCCAAGAACACTGCCACCAATGTGGTCCTTCTAACATGTAAATAGAATCTGCCCCACTTACATCTTCAATGCAAATCATGCTGGGATTAATATGTGGAAAGTCGTATGTATAAAGATGTCGTTGGTGGCACTGTTTGTAATGGGAAACTACTGGAAATTATTTGAATATTCAACAACAGGAAATTGGTTATAGCAGCTAAAATGCATTTATTTATTTATTTTTATTATTATTATTATTTTTTGAGTTGGAGTCTCACTCTGTCGCCCAGACTGGAGTGCGGTGGCTGCTCCCGGCCACTGCAGCCTCGACCTGCTGGGCTCTGGCGATCCTTCTGCCTCAGCCTTCCAAGTAGCTGGAACTACAGGCGTGTGCTACCACGCCCGGCTAGTTTTTGATTTATTGTTGCTATGAAGTCTCGCCAAGTTGCCCAGGCGGGTCTCGAACCCGCGGGGTCAGGCAATCTACTCACCTCAGCCTCCCAAAGGCACGGGATTACAGGCTGAGCCACCGAGTCTGGCTTGCATTTAAATAACAAAACACTACTTAGCCATTAAAATAGTGCTATGTATATTTAGTGACGAGTGCTCAATTTATGTTGCTAAGTGAACAAACTAATCACAGAACAGTATACACATTAAAAACCATTTTTACCAACTTTTTTATTAAACAGATAGCATGACAGCCTAAAGCAGGAGTTGGCAAACATTTTTTTGAGTCAGGGTCTCACTCTGTCACCCAGGCTGGGGTGCAGTGGCGTGATCGTGGCTCACTGCAGCCTCAATTTCCCATATTCAGGTGATCTTTCCATCCCAGCCTTCCAAGTAGCTGGGATTGGAGGCACACACCACCATGCCCAGCTAATTTTTCTTTTCTTTCTATAGGGACGAGGTCTCGCTATGTTGCCTAGGCTGGTCTCCAACTACTAATCTCAAGGGATCCTCCTGCCTTGGCCTCCCAAAGTGCTGGGAGTACAGGTGTGAAGCCACTGCATCTGGCTGGCCACCATTTTAGCTAGCTAATATTTTAGGCTTTGTGGACCATATGTATCAGGTGCAACTATTCAGTTTTAACTAGAAAGGCGTCATAGACAATATGTAATGAATGACTATGACTCTGTTCATTAATGGACACAAATGCAAATTTCATGTAATTTTCTTTTTTTGACTTGGAGTCTCAGTCTGCCACCCAGACCGCTCCCGGCCACTGCAGCCTCGACCTGCTGGGCTCCAGCGATCCTTCCGCCTCAACCTCCCGAGTAGCTGGAATTATTGGCATGCGCTACCACACCCGGCTGATTTTTTTGATTTATTGTAGAGATGAGATCTCGCCAAGTTGCCCAGGTGGGTCTCGAACCTGTGGGCTCAGGCAATCCACTCACCTCAGCCTCCCAAAGCGCGGGATTACAGGCTGAGCCACCGAACCCTGCTTGTAATTTTCAAATTTTGAAATATTCTTTTGATTTTTTTCCCCCAATCATTCAAAAATGTAAAAATCATTCTTAGTCCATGGGCTGTAAGAAAATAAGCAGAGGGTTGGCTTTGGCCAACAGGCCAGTTTTGCTCACCTCTGGTCTACAAGACACTGGGTCAAAATGTCCATTTTGGACATTTCCCCACAATGATGTGAGGCTACACTTTTCTCTCCCTTCTTGTGATCTGTTTTTCTGGAACATTTCCCCCCAGATACCTGCATGGCTCACCCCTTCACCCTTTTAAACCTTGCTCAAATAATAGATTTTCAACTCTGACTGCCCTGAGTATTCTATTTAAAATAGTGACCTTATAGTGTCCTGCTGAGGTGAGTGGATTGCCTGAGCCCGTGGGTTCGAGACCCGCCCGGGTAGGCGAGACCTCATCTCTACAATAAATCAAAAATTTAGCCGGGCGTGGTAGCGTGCGCCTGTAATTCCGGCTACTCTGAAGGCTGAGGCG